CTGCTGCCTGGTCTTTTCAAGGTTGAGGCTGCCCACATTCCTTGGCTCATAGCCCCTTGACTCTTATGCCTCCCTCTTCTGCTTCTGAGGACTCTGTGATTACATTGAGCCCACTCAAATAATCCAGGCTCATCTGTCTACTGTAAGGCATTTCCTCCTCAAGCTGAAGGTCACCTGCCTCTTAATTCCTCTTGGCCATGTCAAATGCCACATAACTGGCTTCCAGATACTGAGAGGGGGATATCTTTGGCACCAGGGCATTAGTCTACCCACCATGGATAAGGATTTTACTGCTTATGCCTAAATGTGCTCCGCTCCACATTGTCAGGCCTTAAATCATGACTTATGCAGTTACTCCTGCCTGATGTTCCTTCACTGTCCCTCAACATTCTGGAGATGTCCAATATCCCCGGAAAGTTTTGCCTCCCTTCCTGCCCCTCTTCAGAGCCCCCAAACCCTTCTCAGCTCTTCTTACTTACATATACATCCCCTAGTCATTTGGGCACTTGCCTGGCTTGGCAGCTGAACTTGGACCCCAGGAGGGCATCACATAGTCCTCTCTTTTGTCAAGTTCCTCAGTCCCTAAAGGGGTACCCGGCATACATCAGGCTGTTCAATGGAAATAGTCCATGAGAAAGTCCTTGACTTCTTAAGATACATGTCAGAATGTTCTCCAGGGGTGCTTTCCAACACACTGGTAAGATGACATTTGAGTGCTGGGTATGGGGGATGTGTGTGTGTGTGTGTGTTGCAAATTGAATCTCAACTTGTCTTTAGGGTCAGCACATTTCTTATATCCATCAAACTGTGCCCTTAACAGTCCCCCTGTAGAAATTAAACTTGAAACTGGCATTCATAAACCATAGGCCCTTCAGCAAAAGAAGAAATTGTTTTCACCAGAAGCAAGTGCCATGGTGTGGTACAGAGGCTGATTATCCCAACCTGTTGAAATGATTTATTGTGTTTACATAATAGAAAAAGATGTCATCCAGAAAAACATGTCCTAAGCAAAGGGCGAGGAGGGAGGAAGGAGAAGAAGGGGGGCGAGAATGTAAATGACCTGCTTCCTTTTATCCTAGGAAGAACCAGAATTTCCTGAAGGTCACCCAGCTGAGGCCATGGTGACACCCTGGTCCTACCTCATAGGAAGCCAGCTGCATTATCCATGGTATAAAGAGGCTTCCCCTTCTCTTTTTTACAGGCCAGAGAAACCCTAAATTCTTCCTCCCACACTTCTGAAGAGATTGATCATGAAGACATCACAAAAGATAAAACCAGCACAGTAAGGGCCTGCATACCGCTAGAATTAACCAAGGTATAGAGAATTTTCTCCACAAAGCATGTACTATAATTAAGAACTCAGCTACATCAAACCTCAGCTGCTTCTAAAAATTTGCATATTTCAGGTGTTCGTGATTATGGGACTGTAACAAGTCCTTCTTTGGAAATTAGATTTGGGAGGAAACTTACTAAGACAGATATTTTTTCTCACAACAGTGTGTTAATTAAGATGTGGCTGGGTGCAGTGGCTAACACCTATAATCCTAGCACTGTGGGAGGCCAAGAAGGGTGGATTGTTTGAGCTCACAAGTTTCAGACCAGCCTGAGCAAAAGCGAGACCCCATCTCTACTAAAATAGAAAAACGGAGGCCAGAGGGTTGCTTGAGCCCAAGAGTTGGAGGTTGCTGTGAGCTATGATGCCAACTCTACCCAGGGTGACAGCTTGAGACTCTATCTCAAAAAAAAAAGATGGTAAATTGTATGTTATATGTTTTTAGCATATTAAATTTAATCTTTGTTTTCCTCTAGAATGAGAGTTGCCTGGCCTCCAGAGAGACATCTTTCATACCTGTAAGTGAGAAAAATGAAAGCTTTCAGCCCATATGATGAATTCATATCATTCATATGTGATTATTTTTTCTTCTAGAATGGGAAATGCCTAACCTCTAGAAAGACCTCTTCTATGATGGTAAGAAGCACAAATTTTTTTTCTTTTGAGACAGTCTCACTTGGCTCTAGAGAGCCAAGGTACCAGCCTAGCTCATAGCAACCTCAAACTCCTGGGGTCAAGCTGTCCTCCTGTCTCAGCCTCCCAGGTAGCTGGGACTATAGGCGCCCACCACAAGGCCCTACTAATTTTATCTATTTTTAATAGAGGTGCAGTCTTGCTTTTGTTCAGGCTGGTCTCAAACTCCCAAGGTTGAGTAATCCTCCCCCTTAGTCTCCCACTGTGCTAGGATTACAGAGGAGAGCCACTGCACCCAGCCAGAAACACAATTCTTTTTTTTTAATTCCAAGTTAATGTGAGGGTACAAACAATTAGGTTATAATAGTTGCATTTGTCAAGTAGAGTCCCTCATACAGCTGTGTCCCACACCCAAGAGGTGTCCCATATATCCTTACATTGTGCCCATTAAGTGGGAACGCACTAATCCCCCTCGCTCCTCCCCCTTCTCCTCCCTCATTCCCCCTCCCCCCAACTTGAATTGAGTTTTTCTCCTATGTGGGCATGTATTAGATTGCCTACTGGCTTCATATCAGTATTGAGTACATTGGATATTTGCTTTACATTCTTGTGATACTTTACTAAGAAGAATGTGCTTCAATTTAACATCTTTTAAATTGACTAGGATGGAGCAGAAACACAATTCTTAAATGCAATGGGGGTGGGGAACAGTTTTGGCCTATCTCAATGGTTCCATCCCTGTGTCTCCTGTCGCCCAGACTCTGTGCCTTAGTAGTATCTATGAGGACTTGAAGATGTACCAGGTGGAGTTCAAAGCCATGAATGAGGTGCTTTCCATGTATCCCATCAACCAGACCATTCTAGATCAAAACTTGCTGACTGTTATGGAGAAGCTGATGCAGGTAAGGCCCTTCCTGTGAGTGAGACAGCATCTTTTCCATGCTGAAGATATCCAGGCAGGGTACCTAGATGAAGAAGTAGAAAACCGACCCTCCTGGATTGGGAGAGGCCTTGAAAAGAGGCCCTAAATGGAGGGCAGCCTCCTGGTTTTGGCCGCTGTGGTGTGCTCCCAGCTCTCTGCTGGTGTTTTCATGGGTCTTCCTGTGTAGTCCCCACAATAACCATGTAGGTCTGTTCAAAGAAGGAAACCTAGCCTTAAGAGAATTAAACCACTTGTCTGAGGTCACGCCTCTTAGAAAAGGCAGCGTCAGGATTTGAACTCCCTTCAAGGCAGTTCCACTAGGCTTCTGATCTCTATGGGCTCCCGGGTGTGCGTGCGAGGGGCCAGCGAGCATTTCCATAGCTACGTCTAGAGAACACAAGCAGGCTTGGTGAGCCGCTGTGAATGGAAATGTAAACCAAATAGGAGAAGCGCTTATTATCTGGGGACACCCACAGTGTGATTCCTAGGGAGGAACTTGCTTTGTAATGTTCTGAATCACCAGAGCACACATGCTAATACAGAACAGAGAAATATTTACGAAAGAGAAGGTGATTAGGGGATGGGGTGAAATATGCTAACAGGGATTGTTTCCTGGAAAGCCATTGAATTGCTTTGATTTTATTCTTTTCTTGTGGGTGAGTGTGTGCACATGTGCACATCAAATTACTTGTTTGAAAGGCAGTGAGCTTAAGGAAAATATCAAAGACTGTTCCCATCGGAGAACTGTAGTAGATATTCCCCCTTCAGGTGGCTGACATGAGGGCTGCCATCAATTCTACCAGTAACTGATGATGCCCAAGTCACCTAATCCCTCCGTACCTCAGTTTCCTTCTCTGTAAAATGAGATGTCTATACCTACCCTACCTTTATTTTAGGCTTTGGGGGAGGAACATATAGACGTTTATTGATTATTTGCAACTATAAACACTTGTACTGTGTTATCAAAACAATGGGCTAAAATTGAGAAATCTGTCACCAGGTGGGACTGACCTGACACCTATGGCTGTGTTTAGTAAACAGGCCTGTGACTGACGGAGTTCTGAAGGATGACAACCCGTCACCTCTCTGTTCTAAATAGAACTGGGCTTAGTAATGTAACATATATAAAAATTAACTAGATATTGCAGCAAATGTCATCTTAAAAGAACTGTATCTTTCTAAAACAACTCCCAATGACTTTCTGAATAGCTTTAAGGGTCTTTTCAGAGTTCACTGAAAAAGTATGTGCTTGGATAATGAGTACTGCACCTCGCAGGTTCTCCAGGCAAGATCTGGCCATGACTGTGTTTAGGTTGGATGTAAGAGTATAACGAGGGATGAGTTGCAGGCTTTTGGGCATAGATTGGTTTTATCCATCTTTATAGAAGAATGTTTTCATTTTGGAGTGCCATTTATGAATGTTTACTATTCACTATCCTAGGACCTGAATTCCACCAGCGAGACTGTGATGCACCCATCTTCCCATGAAGAAACAAACTTTTATAAAACTAAAGTCAAGCTCTTTGTACTTCTTCATGCTTTCAGAATTCGTGCAGTGACTATTGATAGAGTGATGAGCTATCTGAATTCTTCCTAAAAGGCTGAGATTCCTCCCAATCTTAAAGCCAGTTTGATAAAAATTTGAAAGGTAGAAATTCTAATAGAATGTAAGTTAAGAACTGGGGAAGGGGAGGCTTGACCTGGTCCTACTGAAGCCATACTGGAGTCCTCACGCTTATGTTTATATTAGTTAC